TCCTCTGACACAACTTTCTGAGCAGATTCCTCAGTTATAGTTGTTACAGGTTGTCCAGCAATAACCTTGTTCTACAAGTGGCTGGTGTGGTCATTAAAGAAGCACTATTTACCATTAGAAAGCTATGCTGGGTTGGAGATAGAAATGTATTTGAATCTTTAAATACTTAAAACTTTATATCTATTTATGGTTTTATTGCCTCAGGTGGATACATCATCAGTCAGATCATTACATAAGATCGCTACTATGTTACAAATGACAAAACTTGCTCAGTACTGCCAGAACTTTGCACAACAACTTCAAGAAGAAGCTGACCAGGCTAATGGTGCTGTTGAAAGTGAAATTCCCAAAATCTCTGTTAACCTTGGAGAACTTGCTGAGATACAAGCACAGAGGCAGAGATTAATGGAGGCTCAGGTAGTTATTTTAAATTATAAAATGTTATAAAACTTACATTGTGTAATATTAAAATTTTTTTTTTTTAATGATATTCTTATTAGTATAACAGACATGCCTACAGTCCCGCATTATGCGGAACAGTCCCGCAAAATCAACAAAAAAGCTCACATATTCTGCCGTTCTGCATTCACAATTTTTTGTTCCGCCAAGTCTGAATTCCGACATAAAAAAAAAATTGCCTTTTTTTCATTATTTATTAATAATGTGAAATGAAAATACTGAATGCAAAATAAAATATATATAGGTCTGTGTTTATTGTTTACATTTCATCTCCTCCCGGACCCGGTGTGTCCTAAATTTACGAAGATATGGTTGAGCTAGATCTAGATATAGATATAGATCTATTGATCTAGATCTAGTAGTCTATGCCGCTAGGTCTACTAGATCTTCTTAGAATCTAGTAAGTGCTAATAATCTAAATGTTCCATTCAAATCCCTTTCTTTTCCCGACAATGGCTCTACTAGATGATAGATCTAGTCTTGACTAGAGATCTATTCTAACACTGACACTAACTGTTACTGTAACTCAACTGGTTTCTAAGTAATCTAAGAAAAGGATTTTTAACAAAAATATGTTAGTAAAGATCTAGATCTAGACCTAAATGTAATTAATTTACTTAAACACAGTAAGGCTAAGGCCTAAATAAGGCTATATAGATCTACTTATTACATATTCTAAATTAGTTTCTAGTCAGAATCTAGAAGTAGGACTAGCACTAGATAACTAAGATGATACTAAATCTAGATCTATCCTAGTATTCCTAGAAAAAGACTTAGAAGGTGATAGATCTCTAGATTGAGTCTAGATACTAGATTTCTATGTATCATTATGTAATAAATTCAGTTCTCAATAAGTCTATAGACATAAATATTTAGATCTATATTGTCTATAATATAATTATTATAATTTGTGTTCTTAGACTTAGAGGACTTATTAGATGTAGACTTAAATTATTTTAGATCTAGAACTAGAGACAACATCTAAAGTGACCCAGAGAAACGGATAGATAAGCTAATTAAGTAGATCTCGAATAATCTAGATCTAGTCATTAGATTTATATTAGACCTAGACCTAGAAGTAACAAACAAAATAGATAATAGTAACGTTTGAGTCTAGGTCATTAGAATACATTTTGGTTAGAATTCATCATGTAGGACTTAGAACTATTGATTTCAAACAAAGAACATAATTATGAATTAAAGGTTTTCTTACTTTTAATTATACTATTTATATCTAATTTATAAGAAGCAAACTAGTATTGTTATTAAAATAATATAATTGAAGTTTTATTTATTGCGTACAGTATGGCTGACAAACGTAAACGCGTGTATGTTCCACATTGGGGCCCAAAATTCCACATTTTCAACCTGAGTGTTCCATATTCTGGGTCTTGGGGGTAGGCATGTCTGGTATAATACCAATTTTCACTTTTTTTTTTTTAGTGGCTCTGAATGAGGAATAGCTGGTATTAGTTTTGTGTGGTCTGACTGTCCATCTGTGCCATTTAGATCTCATAAACTAAAAAAAAGGGATTGAAAATCCATCATACTAGCTACTTAAATTTGAAAAACAAACCTTCTATTTTTTAAAGAGAAAAAATCTACTTAGTATGCATATAAAAGCAATATAATTTAAAACAAGTATTAATAAGGAGTGTATCATATTTTACACATGAAATGCATAGAGGAAAGCCATACACCTATACATTTAACTAAAAGGAAATGTTTCTTCGTTAAGTCTTTGAATGAGAGATTGGCCCTTTACAAAGCAATTACATCAATCATCAATTACATCAATCATTCAATAACATGAATAGGCCAGGTTCATAATTATCTATTCATTGGTTACATTGATACATTAACAATGTATTAACAACTCTTCATTTTGTATAGTTGTTGATAGTTTGTAGGGAGATAGGGTTGTAGTTCAGAGTTTCTGATATTCTTTTTGAAAATATTGAAACCTGCTTTTTAACCTGGGGTCCGATTTTGAGTTGGTGTTTCCACATCGTCTTTGTAACCGTTTTAAAAAAAATAAATAAAAGAAAATGGTGCTCTGCTCAGTATTGAATTCTGTGCATCTACCCAGAGTTAGTTTAATCCTAATTCTTGTATTTGACAATAGTGCATAAGGAAACACACAAAAAAAATAAATAGCAAATATTTGAATGAATTTTTATTTCTACCAAAAGACCAAATTTCAATTTTTTAAAAATTTCATCACAGGCTCTACAACGTCTTGGAGAAAGTAATGAGATCCATCGTGCTTCATCTACAAGGTATATATCTGAAGACAGATCTCAATTGAAATCTGATTATTCAGCTGACCAGAATACTGCTGACCAGACAGGATCTAACTCACACTTTATACATCCAGACCTTCTAGCCCAACATAGAGCTCTTGTTGCAGCATCCTCCTCCACAACTCCCTCACTACTTTTGTCTTCCTCTCAAGATGTTACCACACAGCAACTGATTCATGCTGCGCTGGCCAGACACCAAGTATCTTCACCGCCCCCATCTTCCTCATCATCAATGTACCACCAATATCAACAACAAGTTGTTTCACAAGCAGATTCTAACTCTGCCTTGCTTCATCGTCTATCTGCCCCAGAGTCTGCTGTTTCAGCCACCACATCGCTAGACCCACACCAACAGAGACTGGCTCTAGCTGCCTATTGGCAAGCACATAGCACCTTAGAACTTATGTCTCGTAACCAGTTGACAGGTTTGACCTCAGATCCCTCCAACTTGTCATCTGCATCTGAGCTAGCTGCTATTGCAGGGACTACGTCTCAAGACAGCAGACACTTGGCTCATGAGCTGAAGCTGAAATCCAGCTCTGGTCATTCTAGGGGACATCATTCCAAAGAAACATGGAACAATGACTCAGACAATAGTCATCAGGCTACCATGTTGCCAGAAACATGTCTCCCTGGTGACATGACACGATCACATCATGGGGGTAATTCTGAGGAGAACACATAGTAGCTATAATAACAAAAGTCAACCATTCAGCTGCTCGTTTGTTAATTGTTAACATATGACATAATATTTTATTGTTTTGTGATCTAGGAATATATTTTGGGGTCCATTGATTGTGTATAGACTTTATAATTAGTTTGACCTGGTTCTCTAGAATAGATTTTCTAGCCATTTTTATTGCTCATGTGTTGTATTTGAATTGTATGCCATTCTAACCTAATCAGTGTTCCTTCTATTCAAAGCTCAATAAATTTTTACTAACTAGACTTAATTTATCTAAATAGAGGAGACATATGCTTCATTGTGTGTTTAAGAGATATTGTCAGGGTATATATACTTAGTATCTCATCACACATGATGTTTCAGATAGCCTTCTGCACAGGTTTTCAATAACCTACAAAATGTTCACATAAACACTATCTGGCTGTTTGTGCCTTCATCTTAAGTCTGGTTTATTGTCTTGAAAGGTTATCTGCTTTTGATTATTTCTTTATTCATTCCATTCATGAATGCCAATTTACTTTATTTGTAATACTTCTAAATAGAAATTTGAATTTAGAAAAAGACTTTAGGGTTAGTGTAGATTGACATAATGTGAAACATAATAATACAATTTAAAAAAAAAATTAAGAAAAGAATTAGGTTTATTGTTGTGTAAAACCACATGTATAACTTTTAATTTTTTTTTATGTAACACAAGTTATAGTCAACTCTCAATGAAATGTGGTCAATAGCCATTGATTTGTTAATTGTCGATGTTTTAAATGTACATAAACATAATGTACAAGAAGTGTTTTATGCTCATTTGTTTCTGATACTCTACATTTACAGATAAAATTCTAAAGAAAATTAAAGCACAAATGTTGCTTTACCATCAATTAAAAAAAGGAAAATTAGTTTGACCTTGTTGCTTGTGTCCACTGAGTGGATTTATCAGGGAGTAATTTTATCTGACCACACTTGCTTAAGTACATTAGTTCATCACTTGTACTTTTTTGAAAATTATTTCAAATGACCACATCTACTTTTGTTTGAGCTGAAATCTTCAGTGTTCAGTTGGGGGCTTGTTGAGATTTATCATTTCTAAATTGTCAGTTTTATTTAATTGTTTATATAAATTTATTACATTATTAAACAAATGTGATTTATCTGATGATTGGTTAGGAATCTTTGAATTCTGCAGAGATATAGCAGTGCACAGCTTATAGATTTGTAATCTTATGGTTAGGGTTATTGAACAGTGTGACCTCTTCCTCATCGTAAAAAAAAGTGTAGGTCAGTTTAGAGTGGCATTCATACATGTTTAGCACAAATTTTGCCTAAGTTGATGTGGAAAGACAGAGTGTCAGTGTCAGATACTTCTATGAAAAGATCAATGTTCACATTTTTGTGTGTAATTTAGAAGAGAAAAAAAAAATAGACTCCCATTCCTCCCCCCCCCCCCCCCCCCCCAAATTTTCTTTTGTCAGTGAGACAATTTGTTTTGTTTTTTTATTCTTCTCCATTCAATTATGATTTTCATCTGTTGAATGTAACAACTACAGATCTGTTTTTTTTTTTTTTTTTTTTTTTTTTTTTTGTTGAATTTCAAACATTAAATGTTAAAGTATATTTTAAATGTCATTGCTGCCCTCCCCTTTTTTGAAATGTATTAGGCAAAAATGTAATGCTCAGTTGTAAAACATTGTATTTTCAAATGTGTAACAAGCTTTTCACATATCAAGTCGTTTTTGTTAAGTTTCTAGGATTCCTCAAAAAAAACAGTGACTATAAAACTTTTGACTGTAATTAAATTTTTATGAATTAAACTTTTAAAGTAGTTAAAAAACAAAAGTAGGACCCAAAGTAAAAACTGTTTCAAACACATGTTTGTTATTTGTTGTGATATATTATGTACAGAACTAAATACTATACCTACCTATATATATATATAAATCTACTTGATCAAATATCAATATTTAAAAAAAAAATGTATTGTTGCTGCCTTTTCTTGTTCCATTTCTTGAAGCCTACCTTATGGTAGCTGTGGGATGGTGACAGTTGTTGTGGGAATGGGTCACTTAGTGTAAATAACAGACAAGCTTGGCAGCGGACAGAACTAGTTGTTGTTAATTCTCAGACATTGTAGCATAGATTTGTTTTCAAAGTTCAATGTGCCAAGAGTTGTTCTTTTTTTTTTTTTTTGTAATGTTGGGTTCTGCTCTTTGTAATCAAGAGAGCAGCAATCCAGCTGGTTCTGACTTGTGAGACAAGCATTCTGTCACAGACATGATTCTTCTTCAATGTGATGCTTTTTTTTTGTTTCATTTCAATAAAAGTGGTTAGAAAGTCATTGAGTTATTTGTTTTTTAATTATTAGATTAGATTCAATTTTACAGACCAAAAAAAAAATATATAATTAATAATTACGTGCTTTGGTTTGAGAAAAAAAAAGTAGCCCTAACCTTAGAGAAGACAACACAACAAAAAATACAACCACAAGATAAGTGATTGTTGGACACCCTCCAATGACAAAAGGTGCCAAGGTTTTTTTTTTTATATTAACCATGTACAAACACATCGGTTTTGTTTTTAGATTGGCACTAAAATAAAATTAATTTTTCCCTAGTAAAGTTAACATTTTTCAAAATGAATTTTTATCAAACTTAAGTAAAGTTCCCCTGTGGAAATATTATTTCTAGTCTGGAAATAACTTTCTTTTCCTGCATCTTATTTCTATACGACTGCCCATGATCGGACTTCACCTATTCATTGTATTTGAGGCATCCGACGATGTGACTGCTCATTATCGGACTTCACCTATTCATTGTATTTGAGGCATCCGCCGATGTGACTGCTCATGATCGGACTTCACCTATTCATTGTATTTGAGGCATCCGCCGATGTGACTGACCCTAACCGCTGACTGCCCATGTTCGAATTTAGCTTTTCTTCAATCTTACACTGTGCCTAGTTGCAGATTATGAGACAACCACCAGCCTACTGCCCATGATTTGACATGAACACTACTCGCCTATTATGAGACATCCACCAATATGACTGCCCATGATCAGACTTTATAATAAGTTTTCCGCCGAGCTGAATTCCTGTGTGCCGACTTTCTTTCTGTGCTGTAAATTTAACTGCCCTATGTAAGATAATGTTGAAAAAGTGTTGGGGCATCCACAAATATTCTTCCCCAGAGCCTCGACATAAATACCGCCCTGGTATAAGAAATGTAAACTCAAAAAATATATATTTTGCTCGCTAGAAAATAAAAAATAAGTATCTTCGATGGTCTTAGGCGACTCATGGAGTAATGCATAAAAAAAAAAACATTTCTATATAGAAATATAGTCCAGTGATGTTATTCTTGAACAAAAAATATAATATAAACTGTGTAAAAAGGGCGTTATGTAAAAAGAAAATTTTTTGTAGTCAAGATCTATTAGTTTTCGTGCAAAAAAAATATTTAAAAAAATGAACTACTCCTATTTGCTAACGATGGATCTCAAAATAGACTGCATTTAATACTTTATCGCAAAATGAACGTTACATTTCAAAAGTTGTTTTTTTTAAACGAATACATTTAAATCGCCTTCTAAGGACCTTTTTCATACAATGCTTTAATTTAGTGATTTTTAAATGGCGTTACTCAAATGGTAATATTCCCTATAAACTTCGGGAAAACAGAAGTCATGTTCCAGATGTCGCCCAATAAAACATACTCAGCCCCAAGGATCACCGTAAACGGACAGACTACTTCACATATCTAGGTAGTATTGTGTCAAATGACGCATCACTTTCAAGGAAAGTTTATAACCGTCTGGCCAGGGCCTGTAGCGCTTTTGGACGCCTTCAGGCGAGAGTTTGGCGGAACAGATCGCTCCGTCTGCCTACAAAAATCAGTATCTACGAGGCGGTGGTTCTCTCAACCCTTCCGTATGGCTCTGAGACATGGACACTATACAGGAAACATCTAAGACTTCTTGAGTGCTTCCACCGAAGATGCTTGCGCACTACAAACAGCGATGTCCTTGCGAACGCCTGTATGGAGGGACTTCTTTTGGTCCGACAGTTGGGCCGGGCACGTATCCTGTATGGGAGACGAACGTATGCCAAAGGCAGTCTTTTTTGTGAGCTAATAGGTCGTCGACGTAACAGAGGCGCCCCACGGAAACGCTTCAAAGACCAACTTGGCGTCAACTTTCCTTGGCTGACATAGAAGAGAGCACATGGTTGCATGCGGCCTCAGAACGAGACAGCTGGAAGGCCGCGGGATACACATTTGAGACCAAAAGAAAATCTGCTGCCGAGGACAAACGTAGACGGCGAAAAGAAAATCCAAATCGACCGCCTGCGGACAATGGTTATGCTTGCCCTAGATGTGGCAAAATATGTAAGTCACAGCTGGGATTGCGCAGCCACCGGAAATACTGCATTCCTCATTAATCTTTGGACTCGCACGGTGCAGGAGGATGTAATCATACTGATTTGTTTCATGTACAACTGAGGTGTCGCACAGGTGAAGTGTTAGTGTGTGTGTTATTTATATTAAGTATATATAGGAGTAATGTCCCTTGTTTCTGTGGCATTTTACGTCTACAGAGACGATCTTTTCCCTTTGCAACTTCTTGTGTGACTAAAGAGGCCAATCCTTGATAAACTGCTGCGATCGCAGGTTGGGCATATGTAATCACCAAGCGCCATTGCATTTTCACCCTTCTTTCTGTTTCTGTTGTGTATGACATCTGCAATCTGTGACCCTTCCTTTATGCTCTCTCTCCATGAGGATCTGTCCAGTTGCCAGTGTCGATTTTGAAGAGCTTCATGTCGCGTTTGCATACATCCGTATAACGTAAAAGTGGGCGACCAGCGGTTCTCCTGCCTTCTATTAGATTCCCACATCCCTAGGATGTCCTGTGGAAGTCGACATACTGGCATTCTACGAACGTGGCCAAGCCAGCCAAGGCGTATGCTGCTGATAACAGAGCGGATGTCCTGGCACCCAGCTCTTTGTAGCACTTCCTCATTGGTTATCTTATCTTGCCACCATATTTTAAAGATCCGCCTTAGGCATCGGAGGTGGAAGGCATTCAGCTTTTTTTCCTGCCATGAGTAGGTTGACCATGTTTCACTTCCGTACAGCAAGGTGCTCAACACACAGGTCCGGTAGACTAGGGCTTTAGTACTGCTAGTCTCAGACTCTTTTCTGTAACCATGACATGGTGGCCATTGCCTTGGCTATCCTGTTGTCCAACAGTAGAGTGTTGTTGGATATGATGGAGCCAAAGTAACAAAAGTGATCAACGATTTCTAGTGGTTGGCCATTAATGCTTACTTGAGGTGCAGTGTTTGTGTTTTGGACAAGTATCTTAGTCTTGCTTTGAATGATGTTTAAGCCGAACTTCTGGCAAGCAGCAGATAGTTTGTCAACCAGGGACTGTAGCTGAATATCAGTATCAGCCACAATAGCTACATCTTCAGCATACAGGAGTTCCCTGACGAGTAGCTTCCTAACCATGGTTTTTGCCCGCAGCCTTGATACATTAAATAGTTTTCCAGAGGATCTTGTATGGAGAAACACACCTTCATAATGCAGTAGACAGGAGAAGAATATGCCAAACAGAGTAGGTGCGTGCATACATCCCTGCTTGACACCACTGCAAACCTCAAAAGGTGCTGATTGGGCTCCATTGAATTTGACAGTGCATTTAGTTTCCACTCAATGAACTGCAGTAGTTTGGGAGGGCAACCTATTTTCCAATGTCCATCTGTCCAATGGCTGTGTGAAGCGTCTAGTGTGGTAGCTTGACTTGTTGCCACCGCTGGCTAGCATATGTGAAAGGGGAGCAATTTTGTAAGTCTCTCTTGCCAGTACATAGCCTCTCCACAACAAGTCCTATGCAGTACCTTCTCGTGGTAGCAGATGGAAACTGAGGCTGCAATTCTGTAGGATACCCTATGGAGTAACTAACTGGGTAGCCTGTTTTCAACGGACAATCGACAAGATAATAGAACAAGAGTCACTGGAGGGTACATATGCTTATAATGATAACATCACCATTTGTGGTAAGGACAGAGAAGAGAATGATAAAAATCTGCATAAATTTCTTGGGGCTATAAAACATAACTCTTAATGAGGAGAAGTGTGCATACGCTTCTTCAAGATTACTAGGTTATGAAGTCTCCCAATATGAGATGAAGCCAGACCCCGACAGACTACTGCCCTTGCGCTAACTTCCTCCACCCGAGAACCTAAATGCACATAGGTCTCTTTGCCTACTATGCCAACTGGATAGGACATTTCTCTGATAAGATACATCCTTTGGTACACAATAGAACTTTCCCACTCCCTGAGAGTCAAAGATACATTTCAAGCGTTAAAAAAAGAACTAGAAATGGCTGTTGTCACTTATGTAGACCACAAAACACCGCTAGAGGTTGAAACAGATCCGTTATCCCAGAACAAAAGACCAGTTGCTTTCTTCTTCAGAACACTATCTCTTAGCCGTAGAGAAAGAAGCAATGTCTATCGTGGAATCAATCAAGAAATGAGAGACATTTTCTATTAGGATCGCATTTCAAACTCACCACGGATCAAAGGTCCTCATGCTTTACCCTCGCCATCACGGTGAAATAAAAAACGACAAAATTCAGAGGTGGAGAATAGAACTATCAATGTACAGTTTGGATGTGTGTTACCTGCCGGAGGGCTGACAACATGGCCGCCGATGCTCTTTCTCATGGATTCTGTGCCAGTACCCCCCCCCCCCCCCCCCCCAGGTCTTTGAAAGAACTTCACAACACTCTTTGTCACCCGTGCATAGTGCGAATGCTCCATTTCGTCCGGTCAAAGAATCTTCCGTATTCAGATGAAGAAATAAGAACTGTAGTAAACAATTGCCCCATCTGTGCAGAGATAAAACCTCGTTTTTATCAACCATCTGCCGGCAGCTTAGTAAAAGCCACATCACCATTCGAGAGACTTAGTGTTGACTTTAAGGGACCACTCTGTGACGATACGTAAACGCTTGCATATAAAAGTTTCATTTGTGCTTAAACGCTTGAGAGAGAAAAGTTAAATCCAATTGACATATTAAACTCAACACCCAAATAATAGTTACAACTTATAGTGTCTCGCTTTATTAAATTAGAATAGTATGGTAAACAGTAGGAGACAGAAGGCCAGTCCGAAATTCCCCCCCCCCCCC